TGGAATGTGAGAGGTTTAGGATTGAGTACTAAAAGATTTGGGGTGAAGGATTTTTGTCTTTTAAACAAATTTGAGATTATTTGTTTACAGGAGACTAAGTTGAATTGTATTACTGATAATGTTCTTAAAAGTTTAGGGGGTAATATGTTTGATTGGGCTTGTGTGCCTGCGGAGGGGACTTCTGGTGGAATTTTGGTTGGATGGAATACCATCAAATGGAAGAGTTTACAAGAGAATCCTGGCAAATATGTTTTATCAGTGGTTTTACAAAACAAAAAAAATGAATTTGTTTGGACTGTTTCTTCAGTCTATGGGCCACATTGTAATAGTGAGAGACATCTTTTTTGGCAGGAACTCAAATCTGTTAAAGATAATTTCCCTGGTCCTTGGGTTGTAGTAGGGGATTTTAATGTTACCTCCAATCCTAATGATAGAAAAGGTAAAAGCATTTATAGAAAGGAAATGGAAATCTTTAATGATGTTCTCAATGATTTAGAGTTGATTGATAGCCCATTACATGGTAGAAAATTTACTTGGTCAAATAAAAGAAGATTCCCATCTATGGCTAGGCTTGATAGAGTTTTTTTCAACTCTGAGTGGGAGGATGTTTTCCCCTTTTCAAAACAACAAGGCTTATGTAGCCAATTATCTGATCATGCCCCCATCAGTTTTGACTGTGGGGATAATCAACACTTTGCATATAAATTCAGATTTGAGAAGATTTGGTTACAATCTGATGATTTTATTAAGAGTGTTCCTTTATGGTGGAGTTGTGCTCCTTCATCCACATCTGCTGCCAAAAATTTAGTTGGCAAATTGAGATTTTTGAGAAAGTGCATTAAACAGTGGGTTCATTTAAATTTCTATAGTGTTAGGCAGAAGAAAAAAGATTTGTTAGAAGAGCTCATGAAATGGGAGGTGTTAGAGGAAGACAGAGATTTAACAGATGATGAATTATTAAAAAAAGATGATATCTCTACTCAATTGAATGAAATTTTATTTCAAGAAGAACAAATGTGGAAACAAAGGGCTAAAGCTCACTGGCTTAAGGAGGGGGATCAGAACACTGCATATTTTCATAAAATTGCCAATGGGAGAAAAAGAAGTAATTTGATCCCAGCTATTACTTTTAACGATGTGGAAATTAGTTCTGAGGAAGGTATTGCTCAGGTTTTCTTTAACCATTATAGTCAGATTTATGGTCAAAATGTTTCTAATAGATGTCAACTTGATTGGCATAAACTCTTCCCTTTTTCTGACTGGGGTTCTAATGATATTGAACATCCTTTTACAGTGGAAGAAGTTCATAAAGCTATTTTTGACATGAATGGGGATAAATCCCCTGGTCCTGATGGCTTTACTGCATTATTTTATCAAGTGTTTTGGGACACTGTGAAAGATGATATTATGCTGTTGTTTGAGGAATTTTATGAAGGTAGACTTGAAATTAACAGAATTAACTATGCTCATATTGTTCTTATTCCTAAAAAAAGTGAGTCTTATACTGTCAATGATTTCAGACCTATTAGTCTTCTTAATGTGATTTATAAAGTAATCACCAAAGTTCTTACTAACAGACTGAATTCAAAGCTTGAGATGCTTATTGATTCTGTGCAATCTGGCTTTATTAAAAACAGATTTCTCCTAGATGGAGTGGCTGTAGCCCAGGAAATCATTAATGACTGTTTTTATAATAAAAAAAAGGAGGGATTTTGTTAAAGCTAGATTTTGTGAAAGCTTATGACATGCTTGATTGGAATTTTATTCTGAAAGTCTTGAAAGCCAAAGGTTTTGGTATTAGATGGATCAATTGGATAAAGTTATGTTTGAATAATGGTATGTCTGCTTTAAACATAAATGGTAAGACAGGGAGTTGGATTATGTCTAAAAGAGGAGTCCGTCAAGGAGATCCTTTATCACCCCTTCTCTTTGTTTTAGCAGCAGATTCCTTTACAAAAATGTTAAATCTTGCTGTAGATGCACACCTTATAGAGGGATTAGGTCCTCCTAATTTGGTTCATAAGGTTCATTGTTTACAATATGCAGATGATACGTTGATTTTTTGTAAAAATGATAGAATGCACCTGACAGTTTTGAAATTGATCCTTTATTGTTTTGAGCTTGCTTCTGGTTTACAAATCAGTTTTAGTAAGAGTACTTTAATTGCTCTGGAAAATAATGAATCTTTACAACATGAGTTAGCTACTATGATGAATTGCAAAAGTGGTAAGTTTCCTATTACTTACCTAGGGATCCCTTTAAGACCTGGAAGGCTAAAAAAAGAAGATTGGTTTCCTTTAACCAATAAAATAGAGAAAAGATTATCTTTATGGAAAGGAAAATCCTTATCAAGAGGAGGCAGATTGGTGCTGGTTAATTCTGTCCTTTCATCTATGCCAATTTTTTGGCTATCTTTCTTTTTATTTCCATCTTGGGTGATTGATAAAATTGATAAAATGAGAAGGAGATTTTTATGGACTGGATCTTCTGATTTTAAGAGTTGCTCAAATTTGGTTAAATGGGAAGAAATTTGTAAACCAAAATTCTGTGGAGGTCTGGGTATTAAGAATTTAAAAATTATGAATAAAGCCCTTTTGGGTAAATGGCTCTGGAAATGGTTGGATGGGAAAGATAGTCTGTGGAAGCAAGTTAGTGGTCATTGTCATTTTGAAAAAAGACCTTGGGCTTGGTTTTTAAAAGCTGATAGATCGAATTTATCTCATTTCTGGAAAAATCTTTTTAATGTTACTGACTGTTTTTTGTGCAGTTCACAGGTTGTGGTAGGGAATGGGGACCAAACTTTATTTTGGTTAGATAAATGGGTAGGATCTTCTACCCTTGCTTCTATGTTTCCATCCTTATTTTCCCTCTCTTCATCACCTTCTGCTTTCATTAGTAGTTTGAGATTTAAGGAGAATAGTATTTGGAGATGGGAGATACATTTTAGAATCCAGTTAACTGGAGACTTGGTGTTTCAGTATTTCAATATGTTGAACATCATTAATTCTGTTTCTTTTAATGATTATGAAGACAAAAGAGAATGGTTATGGGAAGCTAATAAATTTTTTTCAGTGAAGTCTTTTTATCACTTCCTTATTGATGGGGGTCTAAGATTTGATTGTTCAAACTTATGGGAGCTTACTATTCCTTTAAAGGTCAAATTTGTTGTTTGGCTGGCTCTAAAAAATGGTTTGAATACTACAGATATTTTAGCTAAAAAGGGAATTTCCTTGCAGAGAACATGTTGTTTGTGTACTAAATCAGATGAAGATCATTCTCATTTGTTCCTGAAATGTGAGTTTGTGTACTCTATTTGGAGATCACTTCAATTCAAGTTGAATACTGACAAAGATTTTAGTTTGTCTTCTGTGAAAGAAGTTTGGATACAGTGGACTAGTGGATACAAGGGAGACTCTAATTTGAAGAGAAGAGTTTTCATTTGCTCTCTTATATGGTGTCTTTGGCAGGAGCGTAATGACAGAATATTTTCTGATAAGAAGAAGAGCTCTCTTACCCTCTTGAACAAAATTGTAACTTTCTCAACATTTTGGCTAGGATCTGAGGGGATCTCTGCTCGTGCCGCCAGATTACAAGTAAGAAGAAGAAAAAGAGCTGCTGCTAAAGGTGTTGATTTTGGGAGCAAGGACACGGCTACAGTGATTCAATTGGAATGATCTGTTCATATTCACTGGAGTTGCTCTTGGTTTTGTTGGATAGAAGCTCTGTTCTTCTGTTTTGTTTTTTTGGTTCTTCTGACAAACTTGTTATATCAGTTTTTTGGGGGAGGTTATGTCCGTTTTTCAGTTGTTTACGGGGGGTAGGGGTATACTATTTGTAGTACCCTCTTTTGAACTCTAGCGCATACTCTTGGTTGGGAGTATGGGCTTTTTGTAACAACCACTTTATCTTTTAATTTAGCTGGCTGGAATACCTTTGGGGTATTCCATCCTTATTCTCAAAAAAAAAAGAAGAAAGTGGAAACGGAAATGTAAATGTAAAGGTAAAACCGGCTTGATTTTGGTCGTATGGGATACTATTGGAATTTTTCAAATCTTAAGTTGATAGGTGTCTGTTTTTGGGCTCAAATCTATTGGTTTTAAACCTGATATACCAAAAAAACCAGTTCAGAGTTATAAACGCGGGGAAATCAGGTTTTGCTTTGAACCACTAAGTGTCCATGATGTGTCCGTGGTGAATCTGTGCCTGCCATATGTAGGACAAGGACACGGCACCCAGAACAATGTGTCTGTGTAACCTACGTACAGCGCTTATATTCCTGGACTTCCAAGATTCAAGTAAACAATGGACCAGAGTAGAGACAGCAAAGTCATACCCTGAACTAACCAACATTTGAAACTCAAGTATCCTAAAAAAATATCAGAAGTGATGATGGTTAATAAAAGAAAATGTAACTAGCAGCAAAGAAAGAATGAGAAACTAGCATGATAGAAAAGTGCCACAGTTGGGGGTTCTTTCATAAAAAGTGGGAATCTACACAATGTATACATAAAAATCAGGTCTATTGACAAGAAGATGTTGGTATTAATAGAGATAATACACGCCAACTATCATGCACAACAAAGATCCTAAAACACTACCAATCTATTGCAGCAATACTCACCTGTCAAGTGATACGGGCTCAGGGTCACGGAGACAAGGTTTGAATACCAATCTATTGCAGCAATACTCACCTGTCAAGTGATACGGGCTCAGGGTCACGGAGACAAGGTTTGACTGAAACCACACTAAGCTATCTAACACCTGTCAAGTGATACGGGCTCAGGGTCACGGAGACAAGGTTTGACTGAAACCACACTAAGCTATCTAAGGCTCTACCACATTCAATAATTTAGCGTGTCATCTATATCAGAAATTCTACACAGGATACACCGCAACATTCACAAATACTGAAACCACACTAAGCTATCTAAGGCTCTACCACATTCAATAATTTGGCGTGTTATCTATATCAGAAATTCTACACAGGATACACCACAACATTCACAAATAGTCTTACAAATATTGGCTAAAAATACACAAACCTACACATTTCTCATAATACATCGCTAATAAGCAAGCAAGCATATGCAATCTAGGCTACGAATGGCAACCCTTTAGTAATCAGAATTTCTCATAACTAGTCTCAGTTACTATAGCAGAAGTGTAAATAAAATGTTACGAATCACACAAAATGAGAGAAATAACATGGTCATACCAATGTCAGAACCAGTGAAAGTTGAACATTTGCTCTCTGCAGACAACATCCTGCAGTCACACAGGACAGCAACAGCATCCTGCAGCCAACAGGTCAGTTTCCACTATATTTTCCCCCATCTACCCCACTTCACAGCTACGACTTGGGCAGCATTGCCACATGTTGAAAGATAACAAAATTCAAATTAAAATCCTATCAATTCACAACATAAGTAGTAAAAAGCACGTGTACAGCTATAATTTATCTGGACATAGCAATCCATTTTCATGTATATGAAAAAAGAGGATCATATTGACCTGTCAACAAATCCCTGACGCTGAAATGGCTTTTTGGTATTTCACCTTTAAAGCTTGCGTGTAAATGGAGCAACGAATCCTTCACATATCAGCAACACATGTAAAAGGGTAGAAATAGATGTGGTTGATGACACATCCGCATCGTATGGAAAAATGCAGAACATGAAGCTGCATGGTCATCACTGCTCAATTACTCCTTTCAAGCTCACAAAATAAAAACACCAGCGACCAGAACAAGATTAGAGTAAAAACTAAAGACCAAAGGGTTAAGACTCTTAAAGACAATCCTTACCATTCAAAGGACCACCATAATGAATTAGTTAACTTGGATCATGTCCAGAAAAAGAAACCCTTAAAATGGTTGGGGACAGCGAGATACTGACAGGAGCATCAAATCGAATATCATCAACATCATCTATGAATGGAAATCATCATCATCACCAACATCATCATCATCATCATCATCAAGAAGAACGACAAACAGCATCAGCAAGATCATTCATTTGCATTATGTCACAGGCTGCGGACAATCAGCTACTAGAACGCACTCTCGTACAAAACTAAAAAGTGCAGGATATCATGTTATCATAAGTAAGATTCACTAACCATAACATAACCAACAAAGAAAGCAAATAAAGAACAAAGGTCTTCAGAGTTCAACAAGAAGCTACTTGCACCAATGCAACCACAACACAGTCAAAATGCTAATAGCCAACATACGGTGACATGACAGAAAAAGCACAACCTTTGAATCAGTTCAGAGCTCCCAAAAGCACCATAAAACTTTCATGAAATCCTCCAGAAAGATGTCAGCATGTTTGCACTCCAGTAGCAGTAGTTCATTAATCCTGACAAGCAATTTAAATTATGAGGTAACGCCCTGAAATGTACATGACAAGATAGATGCCATGACAAGATCATATAAAGTAAATACCTCGGAACCCTGTGGAGATGAGCTGTGATAATCACGACGTCGACCACGAGGAGAAGCACTTCGAGAAGCTGGAGATCTTTCAGCAGGGTTACGCCTAACTGGGCTTCTATCAGGCGAAGAAGGGGTTCTGCGAGGAGACAAGCTTCTTCGGGGACTAAGGCTACGTCGAACAGGGGAAGCACTGTCCATAATAATCCATATAAGACAAATACTGCAGTTCATAAAAATAAAAACTCAAGCGCTGATAAGAAATATCACTAACTTACCTGTCAAAGGAGCGACTTCTGCTCCTCCTTCGGTCATCATCATACCTGCCTCTGCCACGACCTCTATAATAATCAGGGCTCATACTGCGGCTTCTACTTCTACGGCGATAATCCCTATCACGATACCTGTGACGACCATACCTTTCTCTGCTTCGACTGCGACTTCGCCTACTATAATCTCGATCTCTGTAATCATCACGATACCTGAAAATGGACTAACAGAAACATTAGAAAAGTGCCTCAAGTGCTACAACATAGTAAATGTTATTGTAACATCTACTACTTACTATTCTATTATGGATGCTTATCTGAAGTCCTGAAATAACATTACTATTCGTACTTTTTAAATTCAACCATTGTCTTACTATGAAACTATATATAGAAGCTTCCATACCCGACATCAATTTGGTATGGCAAGTTTTAGAGGCAGATAAAACTTCATTCCGGTCTATAATTTGGTTGTGCCCATATCATTTGACGCAAAAACCCGAGTGTAACAATTGATGTGCACATGATGCATGTCAACAAATTACAAGTTTTATGGCCAAACATCGGTTCAAAATCCATAAAGAAAACTGCATATGAACACCAAATGTCTAAACAATTTCAAATTTTAATCTCTCTTTTACTTAGGAATCAGAAATATGATATCCTTGTAACTAAAGAAAAGTGTCATTCATGTATCGTTGTGTCAATACAAAAGTTTGAGGGCCTTTTGCTCGTAATATTCTAAAGAAAAGTGTCATTCATGTATCGTTGTGTCAATACAAAAGTTTGAGGGCCTTTTGCTCGTAATATTCAATGTCACTCTCAGCAATTCAGCATTTTGTGTCAATACAAAAGTTTGAGGGCCTTTTGCTCGTAATATTCAATGTCACTCTCAGCAATTCAGCATTACGTTTGATAGTATTAAAAAACAAGATGTAAGATTATCGGAATGACATTTTGGAACCCGAACATTAGAGAAATAGTACAAAGCTGCTAGTCCATCTCAACAAAGATTGGTAAGTTTAGCGCAGAGCAATGGATTACCATGAGTCAAGTTATGTCCTAAAACATACCTTGGTCTTGGGCTACGGCTTCTGGACCTCTTCGAAACTTCCACAATCCTTCCTTTATGACTGCAACCAGGGAGAAAAAAATAAATCTTTATTCGACATTAACAGAAAAGGCTATTATGAATAATCTTCCTACAAACATGAGTATGCATAATAATCAGTATGTTCACCAAAGATTAACTCAGCAAATATGATCAAGAATGATGATGATAACAATGACCATATTTGTACTGGCAATGATGAACTGTACCACAGAATGGACTAAATACACAGCAAAATCATATCACCAAGTGCATCACACCCGTGCTTACTTCTCAAATCTTCTAAATTTTGTTGCGTGAGATTTTGATGTGCACTTTGCTATTTACTTTCCCCAACAAGCGAGTGAACAACCACACATGCACACACCAACCACCGTGCATCACCATCCGCAAATGTATCCCACTCTTCACTTGGTACCAAAACACATTGCTAGTCACCTCAGGTCCTCAACAAAATTAAATGTTTTTTGAATCTAAAACAATGTACACTTCCACGTGTAAAGTTATGTTTAATTGCTTCCAATGTTTTAGAAAGTGCAAGGCACTTCTAGGCGCCTGACCAAGCGCCTAGGCACGCGCTTAAGCAGAATCTAGGCGTTTTTAGCATCAGGAGATGAAAGATTCTTCTCAATATTCAAAATCCTACCACCATCGTTTATCTACGATAGCCTTGAATATACCCAATCCATCTTGACTTGGTCATTCTCTCCAATCATTACAATGCCTAAGAGAGCAATATACCCACTATGCGTGGTGCATATCGGATAAGATATGATTATGATTAGGATAGATTAAGATATAAATAAAATATTCAAAATAGTGAATGGTAATATTGACCATTGAAAATTAGAATTTGATTATAAATAAGGTAGTTCAAACTATAAAGGGGTATATTTGTCTAAAAAAGATTTTCCGAACTCGTGCTTTTATACGGAGTATGATATATACATACATACATACATATGTATATACATATGTATATTATACATATGTATATGCATATGTATATGTATATACATATGTATATGTATGTATATACATATGTATATGTATATATATATATATATATATGTATATGTATATATATACATATGTATATATATACATACACATACGTATACATATGTATATACATATACATATGTATATACATACATATACATATGTATATACATATACATATGCATATACATATGCATATACATATACATATGCATATACATATGTATATACATATACATATGCATATACATATGTATAATATACATATGTATATACATATGTATGTATGTATGTATATATCATACTCCGTATAAAAGCACGAGTTCGGAAAATCTTTTTTAGACAAATATACCCATTTATAGTTTGAACTACCTTATTTATAATCAAATTCTAATTTTCAATGGTCAATATTACCATTCACTATTTTGAATATTTTATTTATATCTTAATCTATCCTAATCATAATCATATCTTATCCTAATCCTATGTGAACCATGTTTAGCTTAACAATTTTAAAAAACTAAAATATTAATAAAATATATAAAACATAAAAATGATATTAGTTTGTTAAGATAAAGAAATTACAAGTAGATAACATATTATAATACATGAAGTATTGTAAAAAAAACCATAAAAAGTTTTAAAATTGCAAGGAATTACATAAAAATGATAAAACACTATAATATTATACCTTAGCATTAATTGATTTTAATTTAGAAACTTTAATCTTTGACGTTAATAATATTTATAGGGTAAAAGAATACAAGGAATTACATATGGAGAAACTATTAGAATATTTAGAGATAACTTTAAAAGAATTGAGTTATTTCCATTGCAAAAGAAAAAGTAATGGAAATAAATCTAAAATTCAGAAAACGTCAATGAATCACTTGAATTGGCATTAACATAAGACATATCTATTAATGAAGCATTGAATGAGCTACATTAAAAAATAATTTAATAACTTTATCCTAATCGAAGAAAAAATCTCCATGGAAGACATAAGAAAAATTAGTAAGTATTCATAAATTACATACTGTGTTCTTCTAATTAAATATTAATATTATAATCTAAGAGAAATTGGTAATGAATAATGCAGGTAGTTAGTTTAGATCTTTATGGAAAATGACAGGGATAGAGCAAAGGTAATATTATTGAAATAACATAAATTATTATTGGATGCACATCACAAGAATTCATTTTAGAGGAAAATAAAGAGATAGCTTCTAATTTATTTAAGTAATAAATTAGGAACACAAAGAATTTTATATATATGAAATTAATATTTATTCTCATTGAAATAGAAAAAAAATCAAAGTCTATATTTTTAAGCAGTTTGTGTTGAACATCATAAGTACATTTGACTTCTTTGTAAAGTTAAATGAGATGATAAAAAATTAACGAGCCTAGGAAAGATAATAGCATAAAAAATACAAAATTAACCTGATGTCACAATTGATGTAGATGATGAAGACAATACTCTAGAATTGTCCGAGAAATGATAAATGATAAACCTGAAGAAGGATTGATCTTAACTCAATAAAAAATAAAATAGAAGAAATAAAAACAACATTTTATGAATATTTTATAGAACAGTTTAATTATTTTGAGTGAAATTATGAATCTTTAGAAGGGAGTTTCATGAATTTTTTTAGTACTTTTATATTCTTATGTGGATGTTTTTATCATATAAAAGTATACTAGAGTTAGCATTAATCTTTAATTTATATTTTTTTATGAAGTCTATCAATGATTAGGAATAAACTTCATATTCTCTTTTGCATCGTTTTAACATACTTTAAATCAATCATTTTGCCATATTGGTTTTAAATATTCACCTTCCTTGTATAACACTATTTTAATATTTTTCACTTTGCAATGCTATACTTTCTCAAATAAAGCTTAGTTTCATATCGGTCAAAAATAATATGAAAATTCAAATTATTTTTAAATTATATTTGTTTTTTGTCAATTCAAATATCAACATGAAAATTTAAATTGGGTGTATCCCATTTAAACAAACATAAAAAAATAATCGGGATGTAAGAGTTTAAAGAAAAAAATGAGCACAAACTGCCAAAAATACTTAATCATGGTATTAAATCACGTGCATTGCACGTGTATAAAAACTAATATATATATATATATATATATATATATATATATATATATATATATATATATATAAAGTCTCTTCATATCTTTCATGGATTCCTAGGCAACATCAATGGGTAAAAAAGTAGGTGGTTTGATTTATATATTTTACACAATGGTGAACCATCTATCTCTTGATCACAGGAGACAAAGTAAAAACTTCCTTGCAGATTGCATACACTTAATATTCTCGAGAGGGTGAGAAGTATATTATACTAACAAACCACCTGACTCTCGAGGTTTGGTGTCTTGCATTGATCAAACTCTATATGATAGAGGTTCGAAGCAATCTAACCTGATCTTTGGGTTAAGCTTTCTCACTCGGCCAGCATCTAGGCAAGCAATCTAACCCGATCTTTGGGACAGCTTTCTCACTCTGCTAGCATATAGGCAAATACATATTGGTTAACAAGCTTAGGTGATTGTTTTTGTGTAATTCTATTTGTGGAACTAAGAGGGGGTTATTCATTGGTGTAATTATTAGGATAATGGGATAATTTTTGGAACACCACTTTTTGGTGTTATTCATTGGTGTAATTGGAACTGGAGCCAACTTTGTGGTGTTATTGGTTTGTTGGGGTAATTGTGGGACAAATACCCCACTTTCCCCCAAATTACCCCAAGTATATAAAGAGTTTTCAGCCCCCACCCCCAAAATTATCCCATTTCGTTTCCTGGAACAAGAGGGGGAAAAAATTTCTCACGAAAATCGTTCTCGAGCTCGAACTCCCGCAGGGCCGTCGCCGTTCTCGAGGTCCTTTCCCTTGCTCCGTCGCCGTTCTGGAGGTCGTGGGCCCGCTCCGTTGCCGTTCTCGAGCTCCGTCGCCCTTTCTCGTTTTCCCCCAATCGCCGAACCCTAGCTAGGGTTTCTCGTTTTCCTCTCCGGCGATCTCAAGGGTTTCTCGTTTTCCTCTCCGGCGATCTCAAGGTGACTTTTAAATTTGCATCTTTAGTCAATTTGCCTTCAATATTTGTCTCTGTGGATGAAAAAATCACCACAAAGTTTGAGAAATTTAAGTCAATACATCTCCAGCTTGATGATTCTGATATATAAATAGCAGTTGCACTTTATTGGGTGAGTTCATTATCTAGTGAGTTCATTAATAAACAGCAGCTAGATACATAATCTCTTAGTTTTGTCAGGAGTGACTATTGCTTCATCAATTAATGTATTCATGCAAAGGTAGAGCTGCAGAGGATTGTTGTGTGAATATGTTAATACTTATACATGCAGCTACAAGGAGACAAATTAACAGGCTCTCATAATTCTTTCTTAGCATGAAGAGTGATTTTTTATATGTAAAAACTATTATATACCAGCAGCTAGAAGGAGACAAATTAATAGGCAATCAGGATTCTTTCTTAGCAAGTAGAGTGATTTTTATATGTAAAAGTAAATATATATCCTGAATATGTTATCAACTCAACCGTCCATCAAGTACCTTTGTCTCTAGGATCTATTTCATCCTCATTCTGATCCCACAAAAATCAGGCAGAGCAGCATGTGCACCAGCGTACACTATGTAAGTACACATGCAACTATTCAATATGGCCAAAAGTTTTGTGTAATCGAAAGATAGAAATTCAATATGGCCAAAAGTTTTGTGTAATCGAAAGATAGAAAAGAGAAGAAAAAGAAAACAACACCAAGTAAAAGTTGAATGTGCAAACATAACTTGATCCTGGAGACAAAATTTGCTCCAAGTGAAAGAGCCAGGACCTTATACGAATATACCTAAATGCAAGTTACTAAAATTTACAAATTTTCCTTTTGATTCTTGACTTGATTTGGTTAGCAAAAGACCAGAACCTTATAGTTTATTGTGAGGAAGCCCAGATCATATCATGAGATTCACTCCTTACTAATTAATATACTATCAAAGCCATTTTTAGTTTTGGAAATTAAACCATTTCTCTCCTTCAGTAGAAATTGGCCTTTGATACTAGTTAAAATCTTAAACTAGGAAGATCAGACATCAGGCTCAAGCCAGCATGCACCAGGATCGGCTCGTCGTAGTTTAATCCTCTTAGTTCAAATATTCTGAATATAGGCTATATAGGCTATATAGGCTATAAATGGATGAACATGATGTTATATTTGTTTGTTATCATGATGTTTTGCATGATTGTTACAGTCTGAACGTTGTTTGTTATCATGATGTTTTGCATGATTGTTACAGTCTGAACATTGTTTGTTATCATGAACATAAATGTTGTTATAAGTGCTAAAGTTGTTTGTTATAAGTGATTCCTCTTGCGTTGTAGGATGAATTTTACTTCGGAATCTCAAACTATGGAAGAGTACTCTCAAGACGGTGAGAGGGCCGAAAAAGCTAATTATGACTATGTAATATGGTCAGAGCAAGAGAATAGAGAGCTACTGAGACTTTTAGTGGAGGAGGTGAAGATGAATGATGATCAAAGGAGAAGGTTTATGATTTGGCGTCTGACTGGAGTATTTCCAAATGACGACAATCACTATGCTTATTAATGACTATTATGTTATATGCTTTTGGGAACATAGATGTTAGTTATATGCTTTTGGACTTTTATGTTAAGCACATGAATGCTTTTGGATAGTTGTTTGCATTATCTTTTGGAGTTGATGTAAGCACATGTACATGTTCTGATTTATAATCAGAATGTTTTGTATTTTGCACATGTTCTGATTATAATCACTATGCTTATCTTTTGTATTTTGCATATGCTAGTTTGTGTTACAGGGAGTCCAGTGACTTGATTACTGTTTGTGTGATGGAATTCTTGTAGTGATGGAATTCTTGATTTATGTTTAAGCACATGTACATATAAATGTGATTTGGTGAATATCTTGTATTGAAAATCTTACTATTTTTTGATTTCATGATTAATACAGGATGGAAGATAATCAAAATGTCTCTGTTTTGCTATTTCATGAGGATACTGCTGATTATCTCCTCATTCGCATTATCAACATGACTGCACAAATAGGAGGTCTAGTCACGAGTATCGGGGTACGAGGTACCACCTTAAAGAGTTTGGCCCAGCTAACAACCGTCAGCGACCACGCAATGCTCATGAGTTATTCAACCATCAACATGCATCACTTAGAAATTGGCTAAATACCCATATTGGTATTTTAATTCAACTCCATTTCCCAACAAGGTATTTTAATTAGGAAATTCGGCGATAAGACATTTTAATTGAATAAAATTACCATTTAGGTCATTTTTCTCGTCGGCGGCCAGCGTTGCACGTGGGGGATTAATCTGTGTTTAAGATGCTGATTTAGGTCTGTTTTCTGACGTGGCAGGGAATTAACTCTCTCTCTCTCTTCTCTCTCTCTCTTTCTCATCTTCTTCCCCTCATTCTCAGGTTCGCTCTCCGTCTTCCTCTTCCTCACGATCCTCCTGATAACTTCTCTCAACGTAAGACTCCTCATCCCCTTCGCCCGCAAGTTCACGCACAACGTTCAAGGCATGACCAGCCTCCAGCGCATCGCCATTGGGCTCGTGTTCGGAATGCTGGCAATGGCTACGTCCGCTGTCGTTGAGAACAAGAGGAGGCGGTTTTAGGTCGAGCGCGGCGTAAAGATCAGCTGTTTCTGGCTTGTTCCTCAGTACTTCCTGGTGGGCACCGGCGAGGCCTTTGCTTACGTTGGGCAGCTGGAGTTTTTCATCAGAGAGGCTTCGACCCCAACCAGCGCCTCCATCTCCTCACCGCCGTCAGCCTCCTTCACCGCCTCAGCTCGAACCCCGTTATGGAGGCGGTCGTGCTGGCTTGCCGGCGACGGTCGGAGAGGGTTCTTTGTGGATCTGAGAATGAGGGGAAGAAGATGAGAAAGAGAGAGAGAGAAGAGAGAGAGAGAGAGAGTTAATTCTCTGCCACGTCAGAAAACAGAGCTAAATCAGCATCTTAAACACAGATTAAGCCCCCACGTGCAACGCACGTGATGAGTTTCGCCGGAAAAGTGGCCGCCGACGAGAAAAAGGACCTAAATGGTAATTTTATTCAATTAAAATGTCTTATCGCCGAATTTCCTAATTAAAATACATTGTTGGGAAATGGGGTTGAATTAAAATACCAATATGGGTATTTAGCCCTTAGAAATTGTATTGAACGTATTTTTGGCATTTTTAAGTCTAGGTTTACTATTTTTAAGTCTCAACTTCCAGGTTTTCCATATGAGACTCAAAAAAGTATGATCTGGGCATGTACCGGTCTGCATAATTTTCTGAAGATGGAGAACTCCAACGATGACTTTGAAGTTTCTGATCTTCCTCCAGAGACACCACGCAATGTTGCTCCGATTGATGGTTGTGATTCTGATGAGGACGATGACCTACAAACTCAACAAGCACAACGGACAGCTGTATCACGTTGGAGAGAACAAATAGCAAACACAATGTGGGAGGATGGGACAAACGTACCCAAGGAGTCTAGAGCAAAGTTATATGACGGTAAATTATATTTGTAATAATTAAGATTTAAGTTACTAATTGAGACTTTATTTGTAATAATTGAGACTTTATCATCATCATTGTAATAGATGTATGAATGACTAAATAATATAGCATAATAGTTAAAATAAATATCAAAATATTTAAAAATTGATTAATATTAATATTATTAATATTATTATATTATTTTTAATATTTTATATTAAAATAATCTTAAAAAATAATATTATTGTATATTATAACTATTATTTATTTAATCATTTAATGTTATATCAAGTTAAACTTGAACTTAATTGAGCTATAAATATAATATTATAAAAAGATGTCATACCAATTGTCCCACTCAAATTGTCCCATTATCCCATTTTACCCCATTTTATCCCACTCAAAATTATTCCATTGGGTAAAATTACCCCATTGGAACAATTTACCCCAATTTACCCCAAATTACATCAATGAATAACCCCCCCTAAGCATTACTAACCAGAAATTTTTAAACAAAAGTTTAAAACAATCATTCAATTCAGACAACTAGAACATTTCCATGTTCAGCTCCTAGGATACTTTATTTCTACAAGGAAGATGTTGATATGCTTGTATCTTTTGTATAGAGTTTCCTTCTATCCTCTTTAGATGAGAAAATTATTTTTAATATTTAACGAAGTTCTAAGGATCTAACTGAGCAAGAAATCATGTAAAAATTAGTATTGAAACGTAAAAAGATAGCAGCCGATGTTTAAAAATTACAAATCTATATGGTCACAAGAAAAAAGTACAAGACCCATTTTGTTATTTTAATCTATTTTTTCACAAGCATACAGATGAAAACTCGCCAATAAAACTGCAGTTCATTTCAAATGGTTAATTTGTCATGTCAATGTACAGACAAGACTCAGCCGAAGGTTATACATCCACAGGGCATATATCAACTATTAAGTTTCAATGAAGCACGAAACTACAACGTTCAAATTAGTAGTTTTTCCTGTTAATTTACAATTTAAAAAGAAGTTGTAGACAGAATCTGTCATAAATATAAACAACGGCATTCACCACTCTACCACTTTGAAAAAATACCATCAAACATCTGCTCACAAACATGGATGTACTGTATGAAAAGGGTAACGAGTGCACTAACAGGTAGGAAAGTAAACAAGTATCAGGGTCATTGCTCAGTAGAAAAGAGCAAAACAAATATCTGCTCACAATCATGGTTCCTGATCTTTTCCCCAAGCACTAAAAGTAGCAAAAATTGGTCAAAAGAGGCTTTGCATCAAGCTCTTAATTTGACCATTGTAATGGAAAAACACCTATTCGATTTTGGAAAACAAAATCCTAGACAACAACATCAATCAAAAAATCAACGCAAAACTAGTAAAGGCTGCACTAACAAAGAAGAAAAACATCATCATCATCATAATCAACCACAACAATCGCGAATCAGAACTCGTAACTTACATTCGCTCTGCATTAGGACCATATTTCGCAAATTGCACCATGATTTCTCTTCCATCCACAGTCCTCCCTGTAAAAACAAATTAACAAGATAATAACATCGAGGCAAAAAAAACATATTACAATTACAACAAAATAAAAAAGAAAATAAAAACAAATCAACAAGGGGGGAAAAATGAGGTAAGAAATTAAAATAAATAAATAAATAAAAGAAGATAAGAACTCGCCATCAAGTTTGTCCACAGCTTTCTGCGCCTCATCGGCGTACTTGTACCTCACAAACGCAAACCCTCGAGATTCTCCAGTCCTTCAATCAACAAAATATCATTCAAAAAAATCCCCAAAAAAGAGAAATTTCTCAAAAATCTAATTAGAGAGAGAGAGAGAGAGAGAGAGAGAGAGAGAATCAATATACCTGCGATCCCTAGGAATGAAGATATCAACGACCTTTCCGTACTTATCGAAAAGGGGGAAGAGATCATCAGCCGAAGTCCCTGTCCACAAAATCAATACATAATTAGAAACAAAGAAGAAGAAAAATGAAGAAAGAGACGGAGAGAGGGGCACTTACGGAAAGTGATGTTGAGGACGAGGAGGGAGAAGGTGTCCTTGATGTCGGGAGGACCGGACCGGCCGAAGTGCGACATCTCGCCGATGATCGAGGAGAGAGAGAGAGAGAAAATTAGGGTTAGGGTTCCGAGCGGGCGGAGGAAGGACGAGCACAAAGGGAGTCGGGCCTGCCGCGGAATTGTTGCGGGCTTACGTGTCGTCTGCATTAAATTCGAATGTTCTGGATCGGGCTTCAAGGTTTATCTGGGCTTCGTCCAAATTTATCAAATAACAGGCTAGCAAAAATAATTAAAATTACATGTTGTTTCGTTCGGCTCAATTTTAAAATTTTGTTATTTGCAAATGCGGCATGTAGCTACAGCCTCATATAGGGGTGCATTCGGTCCAGATACGGTTCGGATATGATGCTTATCATATTCATATCCGCTTACCCATCTCGGATACGAATACGGATATGGATATACCTCGATAATAAAAATTTATAACCATATCCGCTAAAATCGGATACGGTTACGGATATACATTCGGATATATAAGCGGATATGCATGCAGATACAAAACAGATATGAGAAAACTAGATAGTATTGAGAAAAACATAGTTCATGTGATACAAAAGAGTTTGTTAATATGTCCATTATAATTAAAAAAGAGAGGCACTAGAGGCACACTCTCCACCACACCTCCCCTCCTGCTACAGTGCACCGGGGGCCACTTGAGATTTAAATTTTAAATCTCAAGTGGGCCCCGGTGCACTGTAGCAGGAGGGGAGGTGTGGTGGAGAGTGTGCCTCTATCATTTCTCATTAAAAAGTTAAGATTAAACATATTGATCATCAAAATTAACCACAAATCCATAATCTCAGAATCGAAACTATCGTAAGAGTATGACTAATATGTATTCGGATATTTCGGATACGGATACAGATATTTTACTACAAAACCATATCCGTAACCATAACCTATTGGTTATAGATTTGAGTAACCATATTCGTATCCTAACGGATACGGTTACGGATATCTTCTCGGATACGGATACGGTTTAGCACCCCTAGCCTCATAGGTGTTTTTCTAATGTCATGGCGTTTTGGATTTTTGTTAACTACATTGTTTTCAGAAGATTATAATTGACTTAACGTGTCTTACGTAAATTGTGGACCATTTTGTGTCTAGCGTGCAATTTGACTAGCTCATTAAATATTTTCGCCCCCTCTTTAGATCTCTCGTACAATAGATCAAGTAAATTCAATGAAAGGTTTAAAGAAATTACGGACCCCACTAATAAGAACAAACTTAACTAGAGAATTAGGTACCTCCCGTTAAGTCTAAATTTTCCTCCAATCTTTCCCCTTGAACCGCTTATCAAGCTGAGATCGAGTACCCCACTCTTGCATAACAGTGACGCAAGTTCTTTGCAGATTCAGGGGGCTCCTTCGTAATTCAAAATCAAGTCGCAGAAATTCGCATCCATTTCCAAGCAATACTCGAGAGGTTAAAAGGGTAATTGTGTACCAAAGCAGAATACTAGGCGCGCATCAACCCAAACGGTTCAGATTTGAACTGTCAACCGAAAACCATCAACACAAGTGTGCGAGCAAAAATGCGTCTGAACTCGGTCAAATGTACAAACTGAAGCACAACTGGTGACTAGTACTAAAACATCATATCTGCCTTTCAAAGATGAGTTAAAATGATGCCCCTTGATTCATAATAAAGGGTACAACATATACGCGTACATAGGCTAACATCAAAAAACTGCAACTGGTTTCTCAAATGAGGACTGGACGCAACTGAGATCTTCACGTACGCTTTGGAGGGGCATACTGCACGTTGTTGTCAGCGCAGATGTTCTGCATTCGAAGTAAGCAGCTCGTAAGATTTCAAACGCCATTGTAAGAGAGAGAATAGTTAAGGTCAGGGAATGTACCTGGTATTCCTCAGGAAGCTCTTCAGAGACTGCGAGTGTATAACAACCAGGGATAAACCGTCCTGTGGATGGCAACAAATATTTCACGCATCAACAAAAGGTTAGAAGTGTAACTTCAAGTGAAATTGATCCCACAAAAGTGAATATTTAGTACGATTCCAGAAGCAAATGCTTTGTGTGGAAATATTTTCTCCTTTACTGTATAAAGCGCGTGATTTCTCAAATTTAATTTTGATATAACTAAATGCTCAGAATTTTGTTGAACTATTTGGTTATCCCTGCAGAGGGCAATACAAACTTCATGGTATAAACCGCCGAAATTTTAGAGGAGCACCTATGAGATAAAATCGATCCCAAAAAAGAGTTCGACATATTTAGGACCTTTCTACAAGTTAAAGTCTCCTATGCAATGGTTTCTCTGTTATTGTTACAAAGATTATGATTTCTCCTAAAATTTAATCTAATATAACATGCTGCAGAGTAACTTTTGAATTAATTTGGCTAACCAAGCTCTTCTCCACAATACAAAATGTATGATTAAAAAAAAGCATTCCATTTGGGCTCGCAAAACATTTACTGCTCCAGAAAACAATTTCATGGTTGCACAGTGACAATTACCTATCCTCAACCATCGAGCCGCCCAACTTCTACTTGGTTCCATGACAGAAATAATCCTGTGGACAAGGAAATCAAGGATCACTCCAGTTTTTATCCCTTCTTTTACTTTAAACTAGAAACTTATAAAGAAAAATGTCCAAAGCAAAACAACAATAACAAGCGAATATCAATTAAGATAATCAAACTGAAAGAAACTGGGGACTGACATTATGCAAAAAAGCTCTCTTATTGCTTCGTCCACATAACCTAAACTTCTAGCTTGTTTGGCTTTGAGATGTCTACTTAATTTCTTTTCCCATTTCCAAAATTTCAATATCTAGAGCAATTTTGTTGTGTTTGTAAGAAATAAGTTGTTTTAGAGGGTCTTAACAATGACTGAAGTCTGATATAAACATAGCTACCATTTTACGTAAAGATCTTAGCATAAATAATCAGCTTATTAAATACATTATTACATACTGTGCATTTGGACATCATAGGCAAAGGAATCAAAATTCCTCCTATCATGCATTCACATGTCCTTTAAACAAATAAAGAGTACAGGGAGACTTCAGAGTTCTTTGCATATATCACTAAAGAGAATTTTTTATATAGGTTGATAGCACTAACAATAACAATTTTTGAAAAGTCAGCAATTGAAGGAGAGATTTGCACAAAACATACATTCATTTGTAACTGAAGCTTTGCATACTTTGCTTAATTCATTAGCACTCAATTCTTGATAAATTGAATATGCAAGGCTTAATCTTACAGCTTCGCCAAGTGACAAACATGGCTAAAATACTAATTAGGAATTATTATACACTTGACATTTATAAAGTAGATTGTTCACATAAACAGTTTTATCATAGAAAAGTCTTTCCTTTATTAAACGTCATCATAATAAGTTTTCCATAAAATATTTACATAGAAATTGAATATCAACCCCTCCCATCCTTTCCCCCCACCCCTTGCCCCTTCCCTCTGAAACAAGTCCCATGTCCCTCTCTCGTTCAACGCACCCAGAACATGTATAAATTGTACTGTGCTTGTTTGTAATTTTATTACAACATTGTAGTCTAATTTAAAGGAGCATATCAAAATTATCAAAATATCAAGCTTAAAATAAACGACGGGCTTAAAAAAGATCCAGAAGTGAAGCTGCTACATTTATGTGCACACGTTACTAAATCTCAATTTTTATTAATAGGTTCAAAAACAAATTTTTAGCATTGATAAATAAAAAAAACTCATATGTAATCAAGTGTCTGAAAATTGTGAAAATGATGCGAAGAAAATTGAAGACGAAAAGAACCAATAATTTTTTTCATTGTTTCTATTAGTTCCAAAAAAAAATTGGTTACTTATTACTTATTTCACAAATAGTTGCAGATCTTATACAAAAATATCCTCTGAGTAAGTAACACCAACAATAAGTTTTAACTTCCAAATCTCATATTGAAATCAAGAACACTCACCAGTGAATGACTGAATGTCATTGACAATGACATTCACAGGGGCTCGCACGCATTTATTTAGAATGCAGATATTAAAATATTCACTTATGTCAATAGTCTCACATACAAGAATTAATTTGAATTGACATATTAAAACGTTCAACCAGACCACCTAAATAGATGTAAGGAACAACATTTAACCTATCCATGAACATCATAAGATGCTAGTCTCAAGACAACCAGAATTGTGTCGTGCGCTAATAAATCTCAGTCATCCAACACTGAAACTTCCCAAGTAAAACATTTATCTGCTGTAATGCAATCATATTCCACACATGAAGGAAAAAAAAATTGACGCGTAACTGATGAAAATCACACGAATATAAATCAAGGCCTACCCTGTAAAGTTCGGAGTAGTGCAGTTGACAACATTATCATGCTCCTTTTCCATATCCAAGAACGGGCAATTTTCACAGCCCGACTCTCTGAACTGGATAAGCCATCAAAAGAGGTTATCACTTCTGAGTATCCAAAGAAAAGACGAAAGAGAAACAAGCACAAGAGCAAGGGCAAACGACACTTTTGATTTGGGTGATAGGATACTGTAAAGAATTCATGATAAGGGCATCTCCAACAGCTTCTCCAAAATTTTCTCCAAAATGGGGAAGCAAAAGTCATATTCTCTAAATTATTTTTACACCAACTCCAACAGTTTTCTCATTTTGAAGAATCTCTTTTTTCCTCCAAAATTTTGGAGAATGCTGGAGATTTGGAGAAGCTTCCCCATTTTTTCTTCTCCATCCCTATTTTGGGGAATGAAATGGGGAATCTGTTAGTCCATCCCTATTTTGGGGAATGAAATGGAGAATCTGTTAGACCAAAAACTAAATTCTCCAAACGTGGGAAATGGGGAAGCTGTTGGAAATGCTCGTAGCAAAAAGAGGTGACCCAAAAAAAATAGGATGTAAAGATTACAAGCATATATGGTAGAAACTTTCCTCGTAAGTACACATTTAAACAATGCAACAACAGAAAAAGGTGGTTAAAATTTATCATGTAATCAATCAAAATCATAACATCAAGCTAAAAGGCTTCTTCTGGAGTCGATCATTATGTCTTTGGTACAATAAACTTCATTCGCTTAGTCTACTGGGAGCAAGTTTTCAAATCTTTCTACAACATATTTTCATACATTGTTCAGCCCACATATGACTCTTTT